CACCTGCAACGAGCATGATAACAGGCACATTAAACAATGCAATATGATAAAATGAGTGGCTGCAACATTTATTTTAGTAATTTTATACACAACCTTTGATCAAACTGAACTTTAACTGTGAAAACTGGACTGGAGCAGTTATAAATTATTAGAATTTCATCTATTTTAAGCTGCTTTGACACAATTTACATTGTAAAAGTGCTATAAAAATAGATGAAGTGAATCAACATCCAAAACAAGTTTTTTTTCTAGCTTTATACAACTTAATTATAAAAAAACTTAATCTTGATTGAGTTTAAAAGCAATTTTTGCGATCTTTAATTCTCATATTAAACTGTCAGAACAAAGTTGAATGAGGGTATCGTATTGATTGCTGGAAAGGTGAATAATAAAAAAAGACAAATGTGATTGAGTCATGAACTAACCTAGTGACCGCACGTGTGCAAACAGTGGTGAGGAAACATCCGGCTACGATCATCCAGCCCCATCCGCCATCCGGCGCTGTTGCTAAACATGGGTTTTTTTCACACATCTCTAGTCTTCCTCTCTTCATCCTCTCCTTCATCCCCTCGCTCCTTTCAGCCTCTTGTTTTCTTTTCTGTCCAGTTTCAGCTGGTTTTGCTCTCCCCGGCTCTGTTCGGGATGTATTTACTAGCTCTTTTTCTCTCATGTTTCTGTTGCTTCTCGTTTTCATCTATGAAATAGTATTAAAAAAATTCTGCAAGACAAAAAGAGGGAACATTCATCAACTTATCTCTTCCGCATTTAAATCAATCTAAACACAGAGTTATATAAATTGCACATGCAGTTAGTGAAATGCACAAAGATACGTTAACTTGCACCAACTTACGCTGAGCATTGGATTAAATACTAAAATGCACCATATGGGTCTCTGAAAGTTTAGCCAGAAAATTAACATTCTTGTCATCATTTACTTACCCTTGTAAATGTGTGAACACAAAACAGGAATCTACTCTATTACTGACTGTTTGGTCAATGAGAGACCTTGCAAAATTAAGAAATAGGAGCAAAAACATCCAGGCTGCATCTGATCTGCTACATTATGCAGACAAACACACACTCACACTCACACACACACACACACACACACACACACACACACACACACACACACACACACTAGTCAGATCCAAACAGAGGAAAAGAACACAGTGTGTCTTTAGAAAAAGGGCCAGAAACTACTTCAAGGCACAAAATAAGTTGAAACATGAAACTAACTAAAAAACACACATAACAATTTTTTTTTACTCCTAATAATATTTTTTTTTTCCTCACCTCAATCAGCATCCGGTAAAGCAGAGCCCGAAAGTCTGACCTGTAGTGATGATGGCCACTCATCAAAATAAAGACTTGACTTCACTGAAGTAACACCTTTGACAAATGATTAAAATAACAGTCTGGGGTTAACAAGTTGTTAATCATTTTCAAGAGATGAATACTTTTATTCAGCATTGCATGTATAACCATTTACAGAACAGACAAAAAATATATATTTTAAATAAATAATGTCCTTAGACTTTGTTATCCATTGAAGTATCTTGAATATCGACTAGTATGTACTGTTCATTGTCCCCTTTTGGGTCGATTCGTTCTGCAATGTATTAGATTTACAACACATATAACATACAACACACTTAATATAAACATTAAACAATATTAATGGCACTAAAAAACGGCAACTATCTTTTCCAATTAAAATTCATCAAACCAATCGCACAAGGAACAAATTAAAATTTTAATTAATCTGTTGGTCCTTGCCAAAGGGACACTACCGAGATACTGATGGAAGTATTTTAAATGAATCAAAAAGAGGATGGGATATATCAGATGTAATCTGATGGGCTCTTTTTAACACTTGGCTTTCATAACAATAGGATAACCCCGGCACTTTTACCCCTAATACTTTGCTGCAGGTTCTTAAAATATTAGACAAGGAGTTCCTCTGTTTTGTATTAAGCAGGTGTTTTTAATCAATGCAGAATACAGCTGTGCCGCTTCATCTTTTTGAGGAAACAGTGATGCCTTTTAGTTTTCAGGATTTTATTGATGAAAAAAAGAACATTCTAACATTATAAATGATTGGTCAAAAGTTTTTAGATTTTTCAATGTTTTTAGTTCCTTTATGAATAAATGTATTTTTACAAGACAAAAAGTCACATTTTCTACAAAAACAAAAATAAGAAGGAAACAAATAATATTATTATTATTGATCAGAAATGCGAGAACCAAAAATGTCTAATGAAAAATCATATTTGGTGGAAAAAGTACTGAAAAATCATACTCAAGTAAAAGTATCATTACTTCCCCAAAAACAAAGTGCAAGTAGAGCAAAAGTACCTGCTGTAAATATTACTCAAAAAAGTAAAAAGTAGCTCTTTTAAAAGCAGAGTAGTGAGTATTATGCTGTGAAAAGCATTTGTGTTTATTTGCAATGTGTGCATGTGTGTGTAAACGTAATATTCTGTAGTGCATTTAGTTATTAAGACTATTTCATTCAATCATCATCATTATTCAATCATCATCCTTCATCTTCTCCTCAGTGACATGCAGTCTGTGGGTAACTGCGTGTAAAGATTTTTGACATCTTCTTGGACACTTTTAATGCTTCCAAATGGTTAGCTGCATTAATAAAGCACCCATATCTTGATTTGAATTTTGATTGAATTGTTCAGTATGATGTGATTTGCTTTCTATGTGCAATTTGATAGGACAGGAATCGCAGGGCTAATTTTTCTACTGAGCTAATCCATATAGACGAGAAAAAATAAGGTAGTGGCTGCAGGTTAAAGGAAAATAGTGGAGTAAAAGTACTGATATGGCACTAAAATGTACTAAAGAGAAAGTAAAAGTGCACATTTGTAAAACTACTAAGTGAATTCCTGAGAAAAACTACTCATTTTAAGTAATTGAATATCTGTCATTTATTACTTTACACATTTGAATAACTTAAGATGTATGTATTTTATTAAAAAATTTATTATTAAAAGTTTAAATAAAATTAGTGTTATTTACACTTTAGACCAAATAAATGCAGGCTTTCTGAACACAAACAATAGTATTTTTTATAACTTTCTAAAACATTCTGTAGATACATAGGCTATACAAAGACACACACACACACACACACACATATATATATATATATGTGTGTGTGTGTGTGTGTTACCTCATTAATAACATTAATAATTACCTCATTAATAACAAAAAAAATGCAATATACACATGCAGTGATGAACAAAACAGACCCCAAAAATACAAGTACAGTTTTCACTAAAAATAATGAAGAATTGTCAGATGAGAAAAGTCATTACACTTGTGTGCAATCACTTGGTCCACCGTTCTGAACAACACACAAACAAGCTAAATATATGACTAAGCGTTTGTAGACGTTAAGGAGAAACACTTACTCTGAAAGACACTTCCCATTGTAAATCTACGACGGACGAGGAACAAAAACAAGCGCTGCTCTCCTCCAAAGTGTGGTCCACATTGGCGCACATGGCTCCGCATCCCTGGACAGAACAGAGCAACGGGCGGAAACTGCAGCAAGTCAACGCGGCGACTGCATCTGTGGGTGAGAGTTAGCGGACTAAAACTTCAGTTAACGGCAGTCCCGAGTCCGATATTCGCCATGTTTTCCTTCTCACCCATCCTGTGTGCATAATATATAATGTCTTCCAGGGGGGGTCGAGTGTTTTAATGGAATATGAATAGGATCATGTTTTCAGGACACAATCTGTTGAGGTCCCCCTCAAGCAAACCAAACTCTATTTGTCAAACTCTTCCTAGTACAGTTAGCTGACAAGAAAAATTATGTAACACACTATTGATTTTTGGCAGCAGGTGAAAATACAGTTCAACTGTTTTTTAAACATTATTTGCTAACTTAACCCCAAGTAAAACATAAAAAATAAACATTAATGTTAAAAAGACTATGTAGGCTACTTTTTAAACCTTGCCCGCTCGATTTATGCTAGTTTTGTTTTGGTGGGGGTATAGGCTAGGACAGGGAGTTCCTACAGTTTATGCCCAAATGTACATTGGAGATAACGAGAACGGCGATATGTCCATACATATTAACCTTGGGGGTAATGTGAACCACCCATTTGCTTATCAAAGCAGTTATTTGGCAACGGGTAGATATAGATAAAAGCTTGACTGTTACTAGCAATTTTGTTGCCAGGTTCATTTTAGCATATATATATATATATATATACATACATATATATACATACACACTGGTCCAAAAAAAAAAAAGGTGTGAATTACAGGTTTGCAGCTTTCTTTAAAGTATCTTCTATTGGGTTCAACAGATGAAAGGATCAAGTAAAAAACAAAAACCAATGCATTTGGATTTTTTCAAATTTATTATTAACTTCTTTCACGAGTCTATGCATCCTATCATTCAATTTAATCCAGTTAATCACACAGACATCAAGACTCATATTTTTAAAGCCAAGATTTCAATGCAGAGTGGCTTTAGCGTCATCTGAGAGGTGAAAACCAAAAACAAGAATATTTACATGTTTTTACAATCTCAAAACAGAACAAAACGTCAATTAAAGTAGCATCAACAAAAACGCAAAGGATCACCTGTTTAAAAATGTTCATAGGAATCAAATGAAAACACACAGAAAAATATCAGAGAAATTAACAGTATTAAAAAAGAAAAACAGTAGTACTGACACAAGTGGCAGACATGACGCAAGCAGCTGGTTTCTAAATACTGTACGATTGTGTTAACCAAGCTGATTTCAGCTTCACTGCATAGCAAGAGGAGTTAAGGTCAACTTTTAGAGGAAGCAGTTACATTAGTAAAACTGTCAATGATATATACTAAAACAGACTTTAGACATGTCTGTTGTTTCTACATTACATATAACTCATTTAACGGGCAGCGGTTTTGCAGTTTACAGGTCGACAACAACAAATTAGGACCCCTCCCATGTTTGCAAAAAAAACAAAAACATAATACTGTGTACTACAGACACAACAGGTGACAGCTCTGTTTAATGTATAGACTTACGAAGTGCAGTTAAACAGGCTTGAACTCTTTGATATATGCTCACACTTGCATCTTGCTAACATTGTGTGACAAGAACAAACTGTTTAAAAAAGTACAATGTGTGTGAATGTTAATTGTCTATATGAGATACTGCTGTCATACTGATATATTTGTAATCAGAACATCCAAATCTAGAATGAGGGTTTTAAACTTGGTAGTTTTCCTAAAACATTAAAATCAAAAGGAACAAATAATATATTAGTACTCATAAAACGTAAATAAAAATTACAATGTTTGTGAATCTCAGCAAAATATTGTACACAGAATGTGCTGTAAATAGATTAATGCCAAATATTAAAGGCCAACAAAAGTCATAGTTAAATACTGTAAAATGTACACAACATTTTAAGCAATTAATTAAACCCCAAAAGAGGTGAACATGAACACTTTTTGAGGTCCCCAACAATTTTCTTTTTTAGATTTTCTTTTAAAAATGACATTGAACTCATTCTTTGAAAAAACTAAAAATATTAAAATGCAAAAAACGAATGCAAGACGAAACAAAAGACAAATGCAACCACATAAAAGGCATATACTGTAAGACAGAGGTCTGACAACAGAAATGACTGGAAGATCGGTGGTGTTTTGATTTTTGATGACATCCTGAATTTCCTTTCAAGTATACTTAATATTTGAGAGATGCATTGTGATACAAAGCCTGGCAAAGCAGGAATGCATGATTGGACTCCCATTCTCAGTTTGGCACTACAATGAAAACACAATGGCTGAGTCTTTGAACCGTCTAATCATGTTTGGTTTTTGAAAGGACGAGGAAAGGGGGTTTGTGGGTAATTGCTGTCATAACGATTTAATATTTCTATTTTGCCATTTCTCTGAAACTTTGAGCACTGTCAGTACCATTTTTCAAACCACAGACAAGAGGAAGGCAACTAACAAAGAGGAGGTGCATGAAGATAACTGCATGCATTCTGAATGAAGCAGCTTTGAGTAAGATAGAAAGACGAATGGGAAAAGGCAGAATTAAAAAAAAATATAAGAAGCAAAACTGGAGAAAAATAAAAAATGTGGGATTATATAGGAGCTTTCAATATGAAGTGTCAAATTGGCCACTTGGTCCCATAGTATTCCCTCTCAAATCTAAAAGTGAGACACCCTGAGCTTTCTGTGCATCCTTTTAAAATGAAAGGCTTTACGTGAATCAGTTGACACACATTTTATAACCTATTCTGGTAAAAATGAAATGGTGAACTGATTTATTCGATTGCTGACATGCATAAATGAATGGAAAACTGTAAAGAATTATTCAGCTTTTTTGGAAACAAACTAATTTTACAACTCTCTTATAGTTAAACAGGCGAGTCTGACCATTTCTGAATCCATTCAGCCGATCTTTGGGTCTGGTGGGAGCACTTTTAGCTTAGCTTAGCATAGATCATTGTATTGGATTAGACCATTAGCATCTTGCTCAGAAGTGGTCAAAGATTTTCAATAATTTTACTACTTAAAGCTTACTTTTAACCTGGACCGGAAATTGCCCTTTTCTAGGCTCATACATCTAGAAACTATACTCTTATTCTTGCATAAAAATCAAGAAACTTTGCTGTCATATCATGGCTGCAGCAGGGGCAACGATGGGTAATATAATAGTACCTGCTGCAGCCATGGTACTGCAGCGAAGTACCTTGATCATTACGTTGATACAAGTACACTTCTTAGATGTATCATCCTAAAAAATGTAAACTTTTTATTTTCCATCTATGAGCCTGTTTTCAAAAGTAATTATTCCTTTAACAGTAATGAAGATGAAAAGTAAAATTAGAGGCAACTGGAAATAGAGACTAGCATTTTTCCTAACTTACAGGATTCCTGACTAAAATAGCTAAGGACACATCTAACACAGCACCTAGGATAATATCTGATCTAGAGTATTGTTTGATATGATTTGGAGTCTGGACAGCAGTTGAACACAAAAAAGACTCCAAAAGAACCATTACTCTGAACAGGTTCAGAGACAACAAACAGGAAGGTTGAATATTCTCTCACATGGTAGTAGGTCAGCGATAGCAAAACTTAAACACAGCAGTATTTGGCCATCCGTAAACTCTCCCTGTTCATTACACACTTATATTTACAAACAGTACAAAAGAAAAAGAACAACTGGAAAACGTGTGTACAACAAGGCTCAAAACTCTGAGGGAGACTAAGTTACTCATAAAAATATTGTTTAAAATCTTATTTTCAAGGGATATTTACAGGTTAATAACTATAAATGGCATCTTTCAGATTTCCCAGTGTTCCCAGTTTTCCTGTTGGAGCTTCTGTGTGGAAGTCGTAAAGCAGCTTCTGGATAATCAGAGGCGATAAGAACTTTCTTTTATGCATCTTCAGACGACTTCAGCAGCTCTAGAAAAGCACCAACCGCTCCGAAGTACCCCTGAAACACATATGATGTTATGATCAAATTAAATATAGACTTCAATAATAAGGGGTCAGTACGATTTTTGCTGTTTTTTAATGCAGAAAATTAAAAAAAAAGTAATGTTACAGTCACTTATAATGTTAGAAAAGATTTCTTCATTTGAAAGTTGCTTGGGAAGAAGACCTATGGATTTCAATCTCTGAGACTGGTTGGGATCAATGCCTTTTATCTGTTTATTCATGTTCTATAAATTACAGACACAACCTTAGTCAGTACAAAGTACTACACAGATTCACTATTCTAAAACAAAGCTTAGTAAGTCCTATCCCTCAGTTTCAGCAGTGCAAAGCTGCTGAAGGTACCTTAGCACATCTTTTTTGGACTTGTGTTCAAATTAAACATTTTTGGTTAGAAATATTTCAGTTCTTTGCTAAAGTTTACGATTGTGTTTTACTCCCTGACCCAATGATGGCGATTTTTGGCAAGTCAGATTTTCTGGAGACTATCAACCGAAATGTACGGTTACCAGTTCAGTATGAAAGTATAGAAATAAGAACTGTCAGAAATTACACTGATTTATGAAAAATCATGTGACATAAATAAAAAATTACACTTTAAAATATATAGTGTATAAAAAACAACACTTTTTAACACTATTACTCTTTTACTGTATCTTTGATAAATGAAAGCCAGCCTTGCTGTAGGTTTATCTAGAATATTACTCACCTCATGCTTTTTAAATGAAGTGTATTTTACAAATCTAAGAAAGCTAGAGATTGAAAACAAATGTTAATCAGAATTACCTCATGTTCAAGGAAGAGGGCCCTCAGCTGGCCCTTGGACCAGAAGTCCATAGCATAGGCAAGGAGCTTTGTTGACACTGTGTTTATACGTAGAAAATTCCCAACAAAAACAACCCGTTCAATTTTCTACAGGACAAAACAGAACAGAAACATCACTCAGTCACGTGCAGGCCTAAAAAGAATCTGTGGATGTCTTGACACATTTTCAACACTCATTTTGTGTCTGCAAAATGTTCAGAAAAAGTTATTTTAAATCTAGTCACTGCTTAATTTGACAGATAATGATAGAATGAACCAGAATAAAACAAATTACTTTATTTCTTAAACTGGATCAGAAGGACCATGTGATTGAAATGATAAGTTGTAACATCCTGAATTTCCAGCAGCTCTTCCTCTGCACCAGCAGGGGGAGTCCTCACTCTTTTTTTAAATAAATTTAAAACTTCTGCCATCATCTCATCACAGACGCTAGCTAATGTGATGTGAATCCTGTTTTCTCTGGGTGTTGTTGCAGGTTTCCGCTCTGATGGTGTTCTGTACACGCTGAAAGCCCTGTACAATGCTGCTTGATCACCAGGCTACAAGGCAACACTGTAGAGAAGCCCAGAGTGGCCAGAGAGACTGCTGCTCACTCTACATGCAAACACCTGGAGACACTGCTCGCTGCAGAGCCATTTAAGCAGAGCTGCGCTCCAGCCAGGGGGAGCATGAGCCCCTCACTGGAGCTCAGCTCTGCCCAAATGGCTCTGCAGTGAGCACCACTTGAACACATGCACACTAACAAACACTAACACTACAAACCTCATTGACTGCACACATGCGTGCGATGGAGCCGATGTTGTTAGTGATGGTGACCAGTGTCGCTCGGGCTAAATCCTCTTTAGAAATGCTGTCCCTTTTCTCTTTGCTCATCATGTGACCAAAACTGTAATAAAAACACAAACTGTTAGAACATATATAGGGCTGGAATATCTGCTGTAATTTACAGAAGAAATAATAAACAATGAATACATGTCTGAGGACTTTATTATTAAAGTAAAAGCAAGCAAAAACAAACTAGCGGAAGGATGTATGATTTTTTTGGAAGAAGTTTCCCATGTTCATTATATTTGTATAAAAAAAACTGAGAAAAATATTGAAAATATCCAGTTATGATAAAACTAACCCTTAATAACATTTAGGGTTGATGATATTTTTGACAATTTATTTTTTATTTTTAAAATGAAAAAAAAACTAATTGCTCACAAAGCTAAATTATTCAAATATTTCACCTCTTTACGACAAATGTAATTCATCAGATGCGGATCCATCTCAGTTTTATTTTTTGTCCTAAGATACAGAATTATTGGAATGGAATTTTTGAAGTGCTTTCTGAGATGCTGAAGTTGCAATTACGACTGGATCTAATGCTTTTAATTCTGAGATTCTCTGAACAAATGCATTTGTTGTCAAATACACAATATAAATTGCTCTCAAACGGTTTCACTACTGCCAAGAAGCTACTGCTACTGTTTTGGAAAAAAAGGAATCCCCAACATGTAAACTGTGGATTGGCCAAATTACCTCTATGACACATTTGGAACGATTTAGATATGGTTTAAAAAAAAAACGTAAACAATTTGATTGTTACCTTGAAAAAAACCTTGTGAAATAATGCAAAATTCTCTTTATTATTATATAAGTATATGTACTTATATTCGGGTTACTTTTGGTTTCTCTCAGTGTGCGGTCTAGCTTATGCAGATCATTTCTGGGGCGGATTTAAACATTGAGATATATGGCTGACTGTAAGTGCTCTATATTTCCTAAAGCTCTATTTTTGTAAATATTGTTACGTCCCGTGACTGTTTTATTTTTGTTTCTATATTGCAGTTTTTCTGTTTCCTGATTTCTTTTGTTTACAGATTGATGCCACCTGAGTCTAATTTGCGTAGCTAATCAACTGAGCTATAAAGACTGGTTGCAACCGACCAGAAGGCAAGGGAGAGGGGAGACGACATGTCTCACTTGAGCTGCTCCAGTCCCAGATACCAGAGGCTTCTGACTTCTATTTGTTTCATGTTCATAATGTGAATTTAGTTGCTGGTATAAGTAAGGTGTGACGTGTCTTTTTTTAATATTTTAAAACCTTTTTCTCCTGTTTCGGTGGGTAGGCAAAGGGAAGTAATATGTATTTTTTTCTTTCTGGGAATGTTTATTTTGTTAGGTAAGTTAGTTTGTCTTAAATTAGTTATGGGGTATATGCCGAAACATGCTAATAGGACTTTTAATTTGCCATTAACCTGGGTTAAGCGCTTCCGGCGAATTGAATGCCAATGCAAATTCCGGTGGGTTTAAGGTCTGTTTTCTTTAAAAATCAGCGATCTCCACTAGCTGAGTGATATCCGATTTAAAGTGGGTGTCAGATTGTACAAGAAGCACTGCATTAAATTACATTTCCCCCATCATATCTTTTATTATATGAGCATTTATTTTACCCCAGTATATTCAATGGAGCTTCTGCATTAGCCTGCCGATTCTGACCGGTGCGTGCGAGTGAACGGCTTTTTGTCTCGTTTTACGCTTGAGCAACTAAATAAATGCTAAAGTTTATTTAACTGAATGTATTTTAATGACATTACAACATCAATGCTGTATAAGGAACCGTATAAAATGAGAAAAAGTTCACAATAACAGGTCACCGGAAGTGTATCAGCATGGGAACAGCACTAGCTCGGCATATTGGTTGTTTTGTTTGTTATTTTAGACCCCATATCCTGAGGTATTATTTTTGTTTTGTATTGTTTCTTTAAAATTTAAGATACATTATTTCATTTGATCACACAATAAATCAATGGTTGTCTGATGGTGATCAAAATATTAAGAATGTGTTGATTGTTGATTCTGGGTCTGAAAGGTACTCTCCCCTCTTTCTTCATTTGTTCGTTCCTAGCTGTGTTTTGCCTCTAGATTTAAGTGGAACGTAACAATATTAAATGGTCCTTTGATTAAAACCAGTTTTATACCACCTGTATTTTGTTGTACAAACACTTCTTTCGTTATGCTGGTGGTGTAGATATAATCATTTAGCTAATATTCGATTAAAATGGTCTGATTAATAGATTTTTCCTAATATCCGTATTAAGAAATGTAAAACAAAAAAGTGCACTATTAAAATTTGTCTGCTGGCTAAATTGAACTTGTTAAAGTAAATGTGGATATGAATATATTTTCCCCCCTTTTTGTTGTAGTTTTACAAAAAAATTTATAATAATATTGAGAAGAACAATTGCCAGTAAAGGTAACAAAGTTAAGCATACTACATTCAGCTGTCATAACTATGTCATAACTATGTCCGAGTGCATCAATTACATCAGGTTTCCGCGTTTTTCATGTGCTAGAATGTTAAAACGTATTTCCCATGAATTGTCAGTCACTGATATGGCCCTCAGCCAATTTGAGTTTGAGACCCCACACTTAATCATTTATTTCTTAGTTAGAAATGGATCATTTATTTTAAGAACAGTTCACTAAAACATTTGTTAGCAACTAAAACTGTTCTTTTAAAAAGCAATCATATATTTAAAGCAACCAAAGGCATGAAGAATGCATTTTGTGTCACATGAGACAGGCAGCTGCACACGTGAGACCCCATAAATACAGCCTCACATTTCATTTGTGGATGTCTTTCACCCGACACTACACATAAACACAGTGTGTCTTTTGTACCTTGAAGCCACTGCAGAGCCCTGTAGGCCGAAGCGCTGGTAGTCGCCACCATAGATGTCCTTCACCAGTTTATCCACATTAGTGCTGTCCCCTTTACTGGCCATCTCAAGTGCCTCTTCAAACGTCTCACAACCCGTCAACAAGCAACAGAGACCCAAAAAAGTCCCACCGCCAAGACTACAGAGAGGAAAAAAAAGGGAGAATTATGTACTGATAGACAAAACATGCTTATTGGGAACACATGTATTTCACACACATGTATACAATTTAACCTTTAAACAATTTAAACTGTGGTCACACACAGACCATGCACCGGTTGCATAAAGTTCAAGTTCAAAGTCTAAACTTAGGCTAGTCTTACACCAGGTGAGCTGCAAAAACAGATTTAATTCTGTAATGTAATAACTTTAAAATGTAAAATAAAACTAAATGTGTGTATATTTCATTCTAACATAGTTTTTTTTTTTAATTAAAACATAAAAAACATAAAAGATTTTTGAATATCTCTACCTTGAATCACTGTTATGATCAAATTCAACGCACTCATTTCAGCGGTTGTTGCTAGATCGAATACGGTTTTGGAAGGAAGTTAATGAGAAGGTCTTTATATTATTTATTAAATTTCCCATTTATTGTATTTTATTAACATCTACCCCCGACCCCAACCATCACAGTAACGTAACACAGTAGTTATACCTAGTATTATTTATGCTATCTATTAAATCACCCAATAAATGGTATTTTTTTACCCCCATGCCAACCCTAAACCCAACTGTCACAGTACTGTGTTTTTGGGTTAATGACTTCATAAAATATGATGGCAAATATTCAAAGCTTAATCAGGGTTTCTGCAGGTCAAAGTCAAACTTAAGACTTTTTAAGACTCCTTTTAAGACTATTATGAATTACATTTTAGACTTATGCAATTATATGCTTAATTCCAATATAATTGGAATATGGTATCTTTTTGCAATAAAAAACTTAAATACATATAAATACAAATACTGTTTAGATGCAGTGTCAGCCCGATTAGGTAACTTAAATTAGGTAAAAAATAAGACCCGTTTAAAATGATTTAAGACCTACTACACAATATATCTGTGAATTTAAATTTAGTTTTTGAAAGACATTTTAAGTCCTTTTAAGACACCACGGACACCCTGTTAATTAAAAGATCTCAATAGAAGCTTAGACAGTAAAGATGATGTTGGAAAAAATCTATTTGGTACAGTATTATACGAATAATCAATTCTGTAACTACTAGATAAATGATAAATTAACTACTAGATAAATAAATGCATTTTTAATAAGCATAATATACTTTTTCCAAAATTTCTAAAAAAAAATATTATTCCAAACATTGGACCTCTAGTGAACAGTGTTAAACATTCAAAAACGACCAAAAAAAAAGACTTGTTGTTGCAGTGATGTTCAAATTGACAGCTAAAAACACCACAGAGGTTTGTAGCATGTGATCCTGATCCTCCTCCAAGTGTGACAGATTGGCACATCAGCTTTGACTAAAGCTGACAAATCTCCTCCCTTTTGTCAATCAGAGCTGAAAGGCTCCATTTCATTCTGGTACAAGCACATTGAAAATGCTTGTCTGACTCAGTGAACTTCACAACCTACAGTACACCACTGTCAGTCACACACTCGTTCTCTTCTATTAGATGACTCAGTCTCGTGTTTCAAAGGGAAATTCAACACAGCCGGAGCTGGTTTTGCTTCTAACAGGCTTGTGGTTCTGTGTCTATGAGAGATGAAGAAACAGTCAGGACTATGTGTTTAGCAAATAGCCAATGGTTAATTCACATTGCATGCTGGAGTGAGAAACGTTTAAATTTAAGCTTTATGATATTGATGGATCCTAACGGAAGTTGCTGACAAGAACAGAGGTGTTTCTTTGCACATTAAATAACAAGTAAATTACAACCAGCCCTTCAAACTGATTTCATTGCTATTTAGTACACCTATCTTTTCAGCAATTATCAACACCTAATGGAAGCAAATCATTCAGTGAGTTTCTTTTAGAAATAAATAAACACAAAATACAAATTTTATCTGTTATTAAAAGTTGGTAACATGTTTGAAATGATTTTTGGACCTTGACTAGTAAAGCACTGCACTAATCAAAATTAGGGGAACAATTCTCAGATAAAGCTTATACCGTTTTCTGGAATATAAGCTGTAAGCCAGTCACAAACTGACAATCTTTGATTTTGTGCAGATGATTATATATATATGCAATTAATAAAATACTTTGATTATGAGCAATATCACACGAGTAGCAGTGCGATATGGCTGTATATTGGCACTGGTGAGAGGCATGCATATACATGTATACAACCGTTCTTTCTGGTTCGTAAATCTGATTTAGCCATGCGATATATTCCTCACCCTTCTGTTTTACTCCGCCCACATAGATTGACAGGAGATCAGTAACTCACTACAAGTATTGCTGCTGGTGTACAACATAATGTACTTTTGAGACTTTTTAGGTGATAATGTAGTTGTTTAGATTGCAACAATGCAGTTTAATTATAAGTACAGTGCCTATTTTAAATATTTATAATTTTGAAGATACAGTGCCATTAGCCTGTCATACTGAGCAGAGCAAAGTTGGTTGCGCCACAAGATGGTGACAGAGGCTGCATAGTGAACTCCTAAGGGGAGAAAAACTGAGCGTTTTCTTTTTATATTTCAAACAATAGCTTTATATTGGAGTAACGATTGATGACTAACTAAACTTCTCTGACCACTTTTCTAGAACTGCTCGATCTTGCAGATTTGCACTCTATAACATCAGAAAGGTCCGTACCTTCCTATCTGAACAAGCTGCTCAACTCCTTGATCAAGCTGTTGTTCTCTCCAGAGTGGACTATTGCAACTTTCTACTAGCTGGGCTTCCAGCTAACTCTATCTAACTTCTTTAGCTGCTTCAGAATGCAGCAGCACGAGTGGTCTTTAATGAACCTAAAAGAGCACGTGTCACTCCGCTACTCATTCGTTTGCACTGGCTGCCAGTTGCTGCTCGCATCAAATTCAAAGCTCTGATGTTTGCCTACAAAGCAACTTCTGGCTTTGCTCCTTCTTATCTGCTCTCGCTTCTGCAGATTTATGTGCCCTCCAGAAACTTGCGTTCTGTGAATGAACGTCGCCCGTGGTTTCATCCCAAAGAGGGAAAAAATCACTTTCCCGAACTCTCGCATTTAATCTGTCCAGTTGGTGGAATGAACTCCCTAATTGCATCAGAACGGCTGTGTCACTCACTCGCTGTCTTCAAGAAACGACTAAAAACTCAACTATTTAGTCTCCACTTTCCTTCCTAATCTGCAATTGGCTCTCTGGGTCCACCGCTAACTGTATTACAAAAAAAAATAAAAATTACTAATGTTTTGCTTCGTACACTTTACATACCTGAAACTTGCCTACAGCACTTAATCATTGTTGCTCTTATAGTTGTGTAAATTGCTTCCTTGTCCTCATTTGTAAGTCGCTTTGGATAAAAGCGTCTGCTAAATGACTAAATGTAAATGTCAATATATATATATATATATATATATATATATATATATATATATATATATATATATATATAATAAAAAAATTTAAATCATCATCAGTTGCACATGAAATAAATAAATATTAAATATTAAAAACACATGTGTAACAATAGACTGTGAACATTAACAGAATTTTCTGTATTTGGATGGCAAAATGTGAACGATTTTTAAAATTGTTTTATAAAAGTTAATTTTATTTATCTTTTTATTTTTAAGATATTGCTAGTACTTCAACATAATAAGTAAATCAAGATTGCCAGTATTTGAACGGCAAAATCTGCCGTTTAAACTGCACTCTGATTATTGTAATCGAAATCATTTCAGTCCTCACAACACGTTTTTATCTGAAATGTACTGCAACTTTTATTACAAAGTAATAATTACTATTATTAACATCAAGCAAGCAAATCATCTGCAAACTACCCACACGTTGTCCTGAATAACATAAGCATGTCTTCATAATGTTCTAATGCATGGTGTAAAGTTGCTCAACGGTGCTGACCTGGTGCCTGTCACACGCTTGTAGTTGTCCTTGGAGTTCACAGCCAGAATGCTGACGCCTGAGCCAATGTTGACCAGCAACATGGGGAAAAGGTTGTCAAGGCGGCAGGGTCTCTTGATGCAGTTCTGTGTATCAGATGGGTTTTCAAAGTAGTAGCATTCAGGATGACCATTAAAACCCACAGAGTCAATGTACAGCAGGCCCTGGATCAGACAGTCCAGCTCATCCAACTTCAGGAGTTCCAAATCTGCCATCTACAAAAAAAGAGAGAAAGATTCATGACTGCTCATTGCTGTCTTTATGACAAATAGACCATTCACCCCTTAAATGCATTTGTGAAATGTCTGAAATTGTAGTCATTCTTGAAGTATTAAAAAAGTAACATTGTAAAAACTAAAATGAGAGTGGAAGTTGTTTTTTTATTATATTGAATCATCTTGCAATACAAACAGACAGCAGAAAGTGTTTTGTCAGACAAACACTCCCACTTTTCCACTCCTGTTAAGAAAACCAGTAAACATAATGACAGTTATTTTAACATTCAGTGTTCATTTAACCTTCCTGTCGTGTTCGGGTCAAATCTGCCCGATTTACAATTTAAAACACTCATAAATATTGTTTTCTTACATCGAATTACCAAAAAAGATTGGGAAAGGATCAAGGCCTTATGATATCCTCCAAACTTTTTTGAATTTTGAGTGTTTCAATCAACCTTGTTACACCTTTAGGAAATGAATGGGTATCCAGACTATAGTCATCCATCAGACAGAAAACATCCCCATATAAACCACTCCAACTTACTCACTCACACTCATTTCAAACTGAACAATGTCTCTTGCAGGTACACATTTATTTTCTGCACATATGTACCGATCCTTCAGCCTGATCTCAGGAGAAAACGTAACTATTTTACGTTTTGTCAGTTTAGTGTCTAATTTGTACAACTTTAGTCAAAAGAAATTATATGATTTTAAAAAGGAGGCGGGGCACCCGACCCCACCCCCTAAAGCCAACCATCATTAGCATAAGCAAATCATACTAAATCGTACAAACGAGATCGTACAAATTTATATGAGCCACTAAATCAAAGTTATAAATTGCCATAAGATAGCGTTGGATCCTCCAACTTGAACCAACTTCCTGATGAAACAATTCATTATATCTTCACACATACTAGACAGGTGTCTGTTATGTGAACCCATCTGTGTGTTTTCCTTTATTCTTTCTTTTTCTGGAAAGAAACTAAGAAAGAAGAAATTAATCTTGTTCCTTCTTTCATTCTTTCTCTCTCTGTTCAGCCAATCTCTGGGTCTAGCACGAGCACTTTTAGCTTAGTATAGCATCAAACATTTTTTTTTGCATTACACCATTAGCATGAGAAACTTTCAAAGATGAGGAAAGTATAACTAGTGCTAGTTCTGTGTCCATACTCACCATCTATTCCCCCAGTCACTATTCCCTACATGAGCAAACTAATATTGTCTAATTGAAGGACGGAATGAAAATTCGAGTACTCAGTACACAGGAAATCAAACCATTTTGTGTGTGCTTTGCTGTTTGATAATCATTCAGATTAATTAATTAAGAAATTTCAATTTCTTTGGTCAGATCCTGTAATAGTTAATTATCAAGCTGACTATTTGGTAATAAAAAAGTATTTTGATTTCTGTCATCTATTGATCATTTTGTAATGCATATTCAGTGCCTATTTGTATTTTCACTGCAGTTATTTTATGTCTAATTCTATAAACACTACTTTGAGACATTGTTGACTGGGAACACTAAAGTTAGGGACGGGATGTGAACATGATAGGAGAGTTAAATCAGTAACATTACATAAAACAATCAGCTTTGTTACTACCTAAAAATCAAATTCTCATTGATTGTAATATTTGCATTCAATCTTTGGAGGAATTTGGTCGCACTTTAAAATATGTGGCCTTAACTACTGTGTACTTGCATCTAAAAATATTTACATTGTACTTACTATGTTCATATTAACACATATAACACAGCAATGAGGCTCTTGAGGTTGGATATGGATAAAGCGTGGTGTGTGTATGTTTAAGTGATGGGTTAAGGTGTAAGTGATGGGTGAATTGTGTAATTACAGTAAGTATAATCTAAAACATGCAAGTACACAATTAGTGCATTGTACTAAATGATTAATTAAAATGCAAGTAGGGCTGGATGATATGGAAAAATGAAAGAAAAGAAAGCCCTGAATATAAAACATCTGATTTTACAATCATTTTTTAATGTCTGAAAGCCCATTTGTGACCTGTCTCCTTACCGTCCTGAAGTCATTCTCAAACTTGTAAGCTCCGCCGCCGGTGGCACAGAGTGTGGTGTGCAAGCTAGAGAAGTGCTTATCTCTGCCCATCTGGATGAATCTGTGCATGGCGGCGGTGGGAAAGCGGATGAAGTGCAGGTTCCCTGTGCGACCGCAGATGGTCAGGTTGCGCAGCTCCAGGTGCACGTCGCGGATGCCAGTTTTACCATAGGCTGTGTTGGACGTGAGGTACCTGCGTATGCTCTTCAGATTCTCCACCTCCTCCTGCTCCTCCTCTGCAGTGATGTCTTTCGGCTCAAAGTATACAAGCTTTACTAAAGTACCACCGATGTCCATTCCAAACCATGGAAATGCTGGAAAGAAACAAAGAGATCAGTCAACATAAGTGTAGAAAATACATCCTTAAAGGACCAATGGCATATATGAATGCTTGATAATGGGCGACACAGTGGCTCAGTGTTTAACACTGTTGCCTCACAGCAAGAAGGTCGCTGGTTCGAGACCCAGCTAGGTCAGTTGGCATTTCTGTGTGGAGTTTGCATGTTCTCTCAGTGTTGGCATGGGTTTCCTCGGGGTGCTACGGTTCCCCTTACAGTCCAAAAACATGCAGTACAGGTGAATTGAATAAGCTAAATTGGACGTAGTGTATGTATGTGAATGAGTGTGTATGGGTGTTTCCCAGTTCAGGGTTGAAGCTGGAAAAGCATGCGCTGTGTAAAACATATGCTGGACAAGTTGGCGGTTCATTCTGCTGTGACGAACCCTGATGAATAAAGAGACTAAGCCGAAGGAAAATGAATGAATGTTAAATATATTAATTTGATACTTTTCTTTTGCAATGATGATTTATATTATTATTCATAGGATTGAGCAAATCTAATACCCAGTATGTTAGCCACATTCATTTGCTAAGATATACTGTACGTAATCTGACAATTGAACTGAAAAAAACAGGAAGTGCATTTTCAGATTTCAACTGAAGATTAGAAGGGCAAACAAATTTATTTCTTAATGAAATGTACAGATGAATTGTTCAACACAAACTGTGAATGTGAGCTAACAAAATCATATGGCTAGTTTTGATTTATTTAACTTACATTAAAATAGAAAACAGTCACTTTTAATTTGTAATATTTCACAAAAATATTAATTTTACAGTATACTTTGTTAAGAAGGTCATCATTCACACTCATTAAGTAATTACTTTATATAGCTTTATTTTACATTTTTGGGAGATACAAAACACAGAGGTCTGGGCAAAGGTCTGGGCTTTGTATCTCCCAAGAATGTGAAATAAAGTTCTATAAAGTAATTATTTAATGAGTGTGAATGATGACCCTCTGAATGATATTATTAACTAGATTTATAAACCAAAAATGTAAAAATCGTGAGCGCGCAGTGCAAACTTTATTACTGAACAGTATATTTTGTAAAATCAATGCAGCCTTGACGAGAGCGTAATAGTAAACTTGAAATGATTATTTTTTTCAATCTGTCCACAAACTTTTGAGTGAAAGCTTCTTGAAAAACTGCAAGCAGGCCAACCAAGGAAAGGCACTGACTTGGTTGCCAAGAGCAACACTGCAGCAGCCAATGAGCAGACAGACAGTTACCATGGCAACAGCAGTGAGGCTCCAAATGGCTGTTCTAGGACACTTAGCAGGTGAGACAGCAGCAGAACCAACATTAACACAGACACACAGGTCTGCTTATTCATTCATTCATTTTCTTGTCGGCTTAGTCCCTTTACTGATCAGGGGTCGCCACAGTGGAATGAACCGCCAACTTATCCAGCACGTTTTTATGCAGCGGATGCCCTTCCAGTCGCAACCCATCTCTGGGAAACATCCACACACACACACACTCATACTACGGACATGAACAATTTAGCCTACCCAATTCACCTGTACCACATGTCTTTGGACTGTGGGGGAAACCGGAGCACCCGGAGGAAACCCACGCGAACGCAGGGAGAACATGCAAACTCCACACAGAAACGCCAACTGAGCAGAGGCTCGAACCAGCGACCTTCTTGCTGTGAGGCGACAGCACTACCTACTGCGCCACTGCTTCTTTAATATAAAAAACATTTCAAATATCAATGCATAGAAAAAAACCTGACCAGAATCTCCAAACAGTCTAAAAACCAGTAAATGAGCAAAGTCTTATCAGATAATGGGTACTTTATTACTGATGTGGCCTCTTACATCAGATGTTCTCTAAGCCGAGCTGAAATCAAAGAAATCATGAAACATTAGGGCAGGTCAGGGACAAACGTCTGAACTTGAGTAACTCGTGCTCATATCAGACTGATTTGATCAGATTTATGACCTGGTGTAAAAACACTATCAGCTGATGTGACCTGTCTGTGAGCAGAACACCCTCTGCTACAACATCATCTCAAATGATCCTCACACTTCCTTCCACCCCTAATATAGATGTGGCCATTTACAGGAGGGGTTATTTTGGACATCACTCTTATTTCAGAGCATGCAAATCAAGTGGACCTGAGCCCAACAAAGTCAATGTGCACGTGCTTTGCTTGCATATTTCCGAAAACCACAATTGTCACTGTGAAAATGCTTCTTTTCTTGAAGAAAAAAAGTGTTTTATCCATAGGCCAATATTATCTTCGAGAGAGAGAGAGAGAAAGAGAGAGAGAGAAAGAGAGAAAGAGAGAGAGAGAGGGTTGAAACTATGTTGCTTCTTAGTTGACCTGACTGACCGAGCCAAAAGCAGCAGGAGAACAGGGGGTGTGACAGTGGTGTGACATAATGACATCAAACAGCCCATGTGGGTGAAAGGTCTGTTTACATCCCCCAGTCAAAAGAGGCATGTTGAGGGTGAGGGAGAGATACTGACAGACAGAGAGAGACATTATTATTATTACTGATTATTCTGATTTATCATTGCTGTTTTATCCATAAATGTTGATTGTTAAACTGTACAGTTAATTCTGATTTATTAATTAATAATTTTTTATTTGTATTTAATAATAATATTAATAATAAGAAGAAGAAAAAGAAGAAGAAGAAGAAAGAAAGAAAGAAAGAAAGAAAGAAAGAAAGAAAGAAAGAAAGAAAGAAAGAAAGAAAGAAAGAAAGAAAGAAAGAAAGAAAGAAAAAGACTAAGAGAGAATTGGCAGGCAAGTGTGTCCATGTGAGAAGCTGGGAAAGGTGAAAAAGTGGCGAGAGAGAATGTGACTGAGAGAGATGGAGTGGTTGACAGAGAGCAATTGGCAGGCAGGAGAGTGTCCATGTGAAAGAGAAAGGGCTTGTACAAAAGAGCAAGAATGAAGATTACACACATTACCCAACACCATCAGATTAGTACAGAACAATGGAGCCTCTCACTATAATCTAACATCCAGGAAAAACAAAAATGTAACGTAACGTGCATTTATATAGCGCATTTATTGTGTATGGCCATAAACCCAAATCACTTTACAATCATGTCATTACATTTTTTACATGTTTTTCACAACTATTTTATTTAGTTTTTTAGGGCAAAAGTATCTCCAGCAGAAAAGTAACCTACACATCAAAAACTATTGGTCCAAAATATTTTAAATGTTTCTTAAATAAAATAGATTGTGTTTAATGGGGAAAAAATAGTTTTTTTACCCAGACATTTTAAAACAACATTTTAGAGCAGCAAACACAATACTGAGAAACTGTGATAATTTTATCCAAGGTTATCATACCATCAGAATCTTATACCGGAACATACCTACATGGGGATGCTATTCAGAGGGAGAAAATTGGGCCAGGACACCAGGGTCACACCCCTACTTACAGGAAGCAACATGGGACCACAGAGAATCAGGACCTCAGTTTAACGTCTCATCTGAAAGATGGTGGTCACTGACAGAATAGTGTGTCCCCATCACAAAACTGGGGCATTAGAACCCACACAGACCGCAGATTAGGCACCTCCTGCTTGCCTCATTGACGTCCCTTCCAACAGCAACATAGTTTTCCCATGTGATCTCCCACCAAAGTACTAACAAGGTTCTGCTTAGCTTCAGTGAGAAACCAGTCTTGTGCTGCAGGGTAATATGGCTGTGACCATAGAATACAAAGTACTTATCCACACAATACATCATTACACGTACACACACTCTTAAATCTTAAATGCACAGAGATGCACTTCTATTTTTTCCCACATGTTTTTGTAATTTAACATTTAAGCGATAACCATTTTAAAAAAGCATTTTATTTTGTGTTTGGGTCACTTTGGACCCAGGTTTGTATGGAGCACTTTTCTGTCAGAAATCCTTTTTATTTGTTTTCTTCTGAAAGCATGTTAAAAAATTTTTTTTTTATTTGAAAAAGTAAGTATTTTACAGTACTTTTGAAACACTCAAAAATGTCTCTGTCAATGTTTTTAAAATATTATATTTGATTTAGCAGTCACACAAGTGCCATTTTCACATCAGTCACATCCATAGCAACACTCTTTCCTCAAAAATGCAAAAATGTAAAATAAAATAAATTCAATAATTTTTGTTCTACAATCAGCCAACTCTCGTCTTTTTAATTATAATTATTTCTTTTGGCTTGTGCAGTTTAACTCCCTGAATTTCTACAAAGTATGTTGTACATTGTAAACTTGCAGACTTTTTTTGGTCACATCCATAACGCATGCTTGTTTTCCTCATTTAAATTACAAAACATGTTTACAGATTGATATTTTTATGATCCCATAATTCTGTTGTTAGTTGCTCTGGAAAATATAAACAGATGTTTCAATATAATGTTAACATACTCTTTCTCTGTAAATTTATGTTGAGCTTTTACTGTAAATGTCACATCCATAATGCTGGAAATGCTCATATTCCAATGATATTACTTTATGCCATTCTAATACTGTCGGTGGTTCATCAAATATCCATTTAAGAAATATACTATTAGAGGCAGCAGCATAGGTCAAAATGTTAAACAACTTCCTGTTTGTTGCACTCATATATATATATATATATATATATATATATATATATATATATATATATATATATATATATATATATATACACACACACACACACACACATATATATTAGGGGTGTCAAAATTAATTGTTACTTCGGTGCACCGCAATGCAGACGCGGACAATTCTGTATCAGTTCAGTAATAATCATAACCGGTTATTATGTCCTGACGTCATTTATCTCCTATGCGCTCTGTCGCGAGGGAGGTGAGCGCGAGTATATACAACACTCAGCCAACTCAGGCCCGTGGCATAGACACCATAGGCAAATGCTAAAGGCGCTGTATATTCAGGGGGGCGCCAGAAATGAGCGCGGTTCAGTTGGTTTTGTTTTCGATATTCCTGACACACATTCAATTATAGA